ACTCTACTTCTCCTTCCTTTCTCCTTCTCCTCTCTCTACCTTCCACTCCTCCTTATTCTCCTCATCTTCCCCCCTTACCCTCTCCTATCCCTCTCTCCCCATCTTTCTTCTCCCTTCTGTTTCCCACTCTTCCTCTCATTAGGTATTTCCGCTTCTGAGCAAACTCCAATCTATGTTGATGGTATTTATAACAATATACTTAACATATCCTAGTTTTAAAGAGCATTAAAAGAGCATTCAGCATTAAAGTATGACCATTCAAGCCTCTAAATTTTGCAGTTAATTGGGGCCTTAATTTTTGGTCTCTTCGCCTCTCCTGGATTCATGATTTTCCACTTCAGCTTTGTTACAGTTGGTATAACTTGAACCCCACTGAATTAACTGATTTGATTTTGGGGGGGAAAAAGTTACTTATCTTTAGTTCAGCTTAATCAGGATCCAACCTATAATTCTCTCTGTCCTTCTGAAACAAACTTTAGAATGTGTTTAGCCTTTTCCACTTTCTCTCCCCACCATCAAATCTACATTTAAATTTCTCTCCAATGTAATTCTTAACTCTTCATGGTTAATTTGTAAAGTATAACAAAGATTTATATTACAGCGTTGGCCTTTGTTACATTGTCCAGTTGTGCTTAGGCTGTAGCTCCCATCACCCACAACTAAGCATCCAGTCCAACAGCAAGAATGAAACTTTATTTTGGTTATAGACCAGTCAGGGGGAAATAGAATTGTGAATTAGATAGGCCTCTTTTCAAGTTTCATGTAAAGTTTTAATAAACTGGTTTCAGGCTTGTTTACACAGGTCCAAACATGTCCTTTATTGCATAGTTGCAATTCCCTTGTGGGATTCTGTTTTGTGTTGCTTGATTGACTCTCTTATCAGCCTCATTGACTCTTTCTTGATGGGCAAAGCTGTGTAAATAGAATCACTCGCTACTCCCTTGGAAGCCAAATCACCAGTTCTCGCAATTATGTCATCTTCTTGGTTCTAATGATTTTTTCCCCCCTCCTGCTCAACCATGTTTGATTCTGAAGAGATTGTCTGGACACGTCTCTGCAGATTTTTCAGGAGCGGTTTGCCATTGCTGCTTTCCTAGAGCGGAGAGAAAGTGATTAGTCCAAGGCAATCCAGCTGGCTTTGTGCCCAAAAGAAAGACTAGAACCCACATTCCCGGTTTTGAGCCTGATGCCTATATCAGAGTGGCTCTTATGACTTATCCCTTGCCAGATTCTATCACAAAACCAAGCTGTAAGTAGCAATAGCAATAGCAGTTAGACTTATATACCGCTTCATAGGGCTTTCAGCCCTCTCTAAGCGGTTTACAGAGTCAGCATATTGCCCC